GGACTAGGCCATAAGAGGAGAAGAGAAGGGAAGAGTTTGAGAGGAAGAGACGAGGAGACTGAGAGAGGAAGAGAAAAGAGAGGCCCAAGAAAGCACCCAGCAGACATGGCAGGGTTCTACAGGATGAGAAGGTGGAGGAGGAAACCCGTGAGCTGGAGAGTGGAGGGTGGAGGGCAGAGTGAGAGGAGCTGAGAAGAGCCATAGGTACTTGGTGAGCCTGAAAACCAGCATGCTCTTTGGTATGCTGATGTTCCTGCTGACACCGTGAGGAAAACAGGTGCCAGAATTTGGGTGGATGGAGTTTCTTTTGGACCTGGCAAAGTCATTAGGCTTGGTGGCAAATTCCTTTACCACTGAGTCATCTCGAGGCTCAGATGTTCTGTGTGTTTTGGTCTAACTGGCAGCTCTATATAAACTCATAGAAGCAATAGACTTAATATTTACATATTTCACTGTTTATATCTATCTTATGGCTCTTGGCTTCTAACTTCCTCCTTAAGACAGCTTATACAAAGTAGACTTTCTCCCTCCCAAGATGGGTAAAACAAATTTTAATCCCTTCATAGTCCTCCTTCACCCTACCTTCTAGCTGCCCAAAACAAATTCTCTAATGTATGTTCATTCAACAGTAGGCCAATGATCTTCCCCATTGCAGAGAACACCTGCTGCAAAGCACAGGAAAGCAGTACTGAGGAAGCTGGGTAGACAAGCTTCGCTGGGCCTCCCTACCCAGTCTAGCATTCATGCCTGCACAATGATAAGCCGGAAGAGTGCAGAAGTATCTGAACAGAAGAGGGTTCAGAGGAGGAGGAGCTGTGCTCCTCTGAGGGTGTCGCAAAGCAAGTCTGGAAACAAAAGCTCACCTGTGTATCTGTTCACCTGGCTGCGCATTTTATTAAAAATGCGTTTACAGTTGAGACCCGATCACAAAGCAGAGAGGGCTAACCGGGAAGAGCAGAGCATGCGCTTTTGAAACCTCCAAGCTCACTTCTACTGACACACCTCCCCGAACAAGGCCACACCTCCTAAATCCTTTACAAACAGTTCTGCTAAGGGGGAACAAACATTCAAATAGATAAGCCTGTGGGAGCTAGTCTCATTCAACCACTGAAGGCTCTTTCAGATTTTATTTTGTTCTGTGTGTTTGTATGGTGTGCACGAGGGTGCTCACTCTTGTGTGAGCTGTAGAGACTGGAGGCTGGTGCACAGTTCTCAACCTTTGGGTCACAATCCCTTTGGGGCTGGGGGTCAATTAACCCTTTCACAGGGGTGATCTAAGAGCACCGGAAAACAGATATTTACATTACAACTCATAACAGTAGCAAAATTCCAGTCACGAGGTAGCAGCGAAAATAATTTTTTGATTAGGGGTCAGCACAGCATGAGGAAGTGAGGGTCGCAGCGTTCGGAAGGCTGAGAATCACTGAGCTGGTATCTTTATCAGGTGCTCTCCATCTCTCTCGTTGAGGTATAGGTTTTCATTCAGCCAGAGCTATTCAGCTTGTTTGTTCCTGCTTTCCAAAGACTTCTGAGTGGGCTGCCAGGACCACCTGGTGGGAGCGGCTTCTGGAGATCTGGACTCTGATCCTCATGCTTGCATGGCAAACAGTTTATCAGTTGAGTCATCTCTCCAGCCCCTACGAGGAAGAGGAAAGTGAGGAGATGAACCCTGCCCCCTTGTTTTTTCTTGAGGCAGACTCTTGCTATGTAGTCCAGGATGGCCTAAGACTCCAGATCCTTGTCTCAGTCTCTGGAATGAAAAATAAATAAATACCTCTTACATATTCTGAGCCCAGTAATTCTATATTCAGTATAGACTAAAAACAAACTTGGACATGCAAAGAGTCCGAGTTTCTTTCTTCAGGGGGTACTCAAAGATGTATCAACAGAAGACCGAGATAGAGGAGAAGGGGGTGAGAACAGAACACAGCCCTGGTGAACTAAGAAGCCACCGAAACCTAGAGCTAAGCCTGCTGCACGGTAGCTCAGGCAGCGTTTCTGTTTTGAAGAGTGTTCGGGAGGTTGGCACCTCAGGCTTTCACTGTCAGCTGACTTTTATCAGCAAAGATCTATGACAGGCTGCACGTTAGGCTTCCTGCTGCTGGTGCTGGTGCTGGTGCTGGTGCTGGTGCTGGTGCTGCTGCTGCTGCTGCTGCTGCTGCTGCTGCTGCTTGGCTTCTGTTGCCTGGCTGGTTTCTGCTCAGGAGAGCGGGCAGCTGCAAGGCCCATCAGCTGATCCTGAGGCCGGAAGTGGCTGTCAGCATACTTCCTTTCAGGCTTTGTAGAATAAACAGACCAACAGAAGCTTCTTATAGTGGGACGGATAGTGTGTGTGTGTGTGTGTGTGTGTGTAGAGAGAGAGACAGAGAGAGACAACCTCACCACTTTACTTGGTGCCCTCATTCCTGCTGCTGTGAGGTCACACCTGCTATGCTTGTAGCCCTCACAACTTCTCCTAGAGAGTGCAGTTTATTCCCAAATCTAGACCTCCGGGGCATCTGTGTCCCTGTGGAGGTTGCATGCAGTGTGAGGCCCAGTCTCCTTCCACACGTGGCTTTGCCTTTCCGCGACCAGTGGTGTTGGGTGCGGCACTACAGTTTGAATGTGGTTTGTCTCTCCTGAAGTTCATGGTTATTTTTACAGGATTTATTTATATGTGTCTGCATGAATTTATGTGCACCAGATGTGTGCAGGGGCCCACAGAGGCCAGAGAGGATGCCGGATGCAGGTGGGTGAGTCACCTGGTGAAGACGCTGGGAACTGAACCCAGTACTCTGAAGAGCAGCAAGCGTTCCTAACTATTGAGTCATCTCTCCAGCCCTCATGTTGGGGTTTAATGGTCAGTGTGAAGTACTATGAAGACAGAAACATGCCCTAGACCCTGGTGCTCAGAGGAGAGGTCTTTCTGAGATGGGTAGGATTAGCTAAGATTGTGGGGTAGAGTCCCATATTTGATTACTGTTGGCTTTAAGAGGATAATGAGCAGAACGCACACGACATCCACACACATGCTCACATGCATGCACACCACACAGGCCTGCCTCTCTCTCTCTCTCTCTCTCTCTCTCTCTCTCTCTCTCTCTCCTGTCTCTTACAATGTATGGTAACTCAGGACTCTGCATGTGAAAAGTGAAGAGCAGACTATATGCTCATCTTCAACTTTAGACCAGAACTATGAACCCAAGTAAATCTCTTACATTTATAATTTAGCCAGCATGTAGAATTGTGTCAAAACCACAGAAAAGGGTCAAAGATGGTGTGTGGGCTATGAGTTAAATTAGTTGTTTCGAGCCCAAGCAAATACTGCAGAGAAGACTGTGCTTCTGCCCAAGTTCCATGAGCTCCTTCCAGGCAGGATGTGTGGTTCGGGTCTGGGCTTGTGGGCAAGGAGGGGTAGGCGAAGAGGCTTTGGGGGCCTCCTGTGCCCTGAAGAGTCACTTAGCTTCCAAGAAGGGGAAGCCCAGTTTCATCACCTTGGAGGTGGCGGCTGGGGCATTTCTCCAGAGGAGCAGAGCCTGTGTCATCTGGGCTCTCATGTTGGAGGTGGCTCAGTGGTTCAGTGCTTGCTTAGCATGTCTGGGGTCCTCCGCACTGCAAATGAGTTAAAATGAAGACAAAACAAATCTGCTCCATTGAAGAGCATTGTTGGAGGAAAGGCCCCTTTCGAGGCAGCCTTTGCGTATCTGCAGATGTGGTCGATAGGGGTTCCTGTGTCAGTGGGGCTGGCTATTAGAGACGGACCTTTACTTTCCTTAGATTCAATAACAAAACTTTTTAGCTAGCAGTGTTTAAAACATTCAAATATACAAACTTCCTGTAAAAAGTGGAACCTGAGAACACACTAGGTCTGTCACAGTGAGCCGGTTACAATGCCCCTGAAATACCCATGGCACAGGTGTGATTGGAAGCCTGCTAGTGACCTTCTTAAACCAGTCTCTGGGAAGAGCAGAACGTCATTTCTGGTCAGGAACGTGTTTATTGTACAGTGGGGTTTTCCTCGAGAGCCCCAGGGAATTTGATATCTAGCCTCCTTGCCCTCATCGAGTCTGCCTTTTATCCAGGTGGGAAGCCATCATACAAACTCCAGACTCATTGACAGCAACAGACACTTGAGAGGCAGCATGGGGAAATCCTGGAGGAGAGAGCCTGTGCTCCAAATGAAATCCCTCGACTGTCCTACCTGGCCCTCTTCATATGCTTGGTATCCAACTCAGCGCTTTCCAGGAATCCTGTCAGGGTGGAGGTTTTCAAAGGACATTCCTGGAAATCTGATGCCACGATAACTTCTCAGAATCTAGAATTGATTTGTAAAGCACTGTATACTCATGCCTGTCTGATAAAACAGAAATAAAGTTAGTTTGCAGATTTTCTATTGATTTTTATCTGTCTGTCTATCTATCTATCTATCTATCTATCTATCTATCTATCTATCTATCTATCTATCTATGTATTTAATTTTTTTGTTTGTTTTCAAGACAGGGTTTCTCTGTGTAACTCTAGCTGTCCTGGACTTTTTGTAGACCAGGCTGGTCTTGAACTGGCAGAGATATACTTGTCTCTGCCTACCAAGTACTGGGATAAAAGGCGTGTGCCACCAAGCCCAGCTTCCACTGATTTTTAAACTACCATTTGAGCCTTTGTGTCTTTTTCTTTATCCTTTATTTTTTGTGTATGTGTGTGTGTTTAGATGCACATTTTGCATATGTCTGGGTAGACGTGTACATGCGTGGCTGTGCATGTGAAGGGAGCCCAGCCTGATGTCAGGAGGTATTCTCCATTGCTCCACCACCTTATTCATTGAAGAAGGGCCTCTCACCAAGCCTGAGCTCCTGGCTATGCCTGGTCTGGCCAGCCAGCTTGCTCCAGGAAGCCCGTGTCTCTGTTTCAGGAGTTAGAATCACTGGTGGGCCACCATGCTTTCCCGGCAGTTCTGTGGGTTCTGGGCATCCAGAGTCCGGTCTTCCGCAGCACATGTTTTACCCACCAAGCATCTCTGCTAGATGTGCAGCTCGTCTCCAGCCTTCAGCACGCTGCAGCGCAGCGGTCACCATCAGCCATTCAGCGAACTCCACACAAACCTCAAACCCGAGGCCCATATGCAACAATTCCTCATCCCCTGGACTGGCTCCCACACGCAGCAAGCTCAGCTCTACGTTGTCTCCATGTTTGCATAACTTGCAGGAGTGGACTCATGTAGAGCAGTGTCCTTGGTGACTGGCCTCTTTAACTTAGTATAACATCTTCAAGAAGTGGCCTATTTCAGAAACATTTTTCCTCTTTAAAGGCTGACAATACTCCAAGGTATGAATAAAGACATACCTTATCCATTCAGCTGTAACGGACCCGTTTGCTTCTGCCTTTTTGGTCATCATGAATAATGCTGCCATAGACATGGGTCTACGAATGTCTTCATTGTCACTGTAGGATTTAGTTGCACAGCCACGTCCATTAACATGGACTCTGGTATTTTGTAACCTCTGATGTTAGCAATTCTAGAATTATCAGGAATTTTCTTCTTGCACCTACAAGGGTTGGATAATGATTCTTCTCACGTGTCTTTGAGCACACGTTCTGGGTCTCTTAAGATCCACTCCAGATAAACTTTAAGAATGGTGTAGGTATCTTGTGTGTTCATGGTTTACATATGTGTGTGCAGGCATGCTTGCTAGCGCATGGACACGTGGAGGCCAGAGGTCAGTTTTAGGTGTCTTCTGTCATTCTCCACTGCTTTTTCTTTTTTTTCTTTTTTGGACTCCAGGTGGCTCAGCTTGCATTGAGTCTTCAGGTCCCCTGCTTCTACCAGCCAGCTTTGGCTTACCGGCGTGCACTGCTTTGACAGAGGATCTGAATTCACGTAGGTCATAAGGCTTAGGCAGCCAGCATTTTGCCAACTGAGCCAGCTCTCTATCCTGAAATGTTTCACCTAACCATACGGATATCTTCTAGTGAGTAAATTCAAATAGAAAAGTGTTTTGTTTTGTTTTTTAAATCTGAAATAAAGCAGAGATTGGTGTTCTTTGCCATCCTGAGCTAGGCCTTGCCTTAAAAAAAATAAATGATATTTTAATGGTGCAAGAATTATTCTTTTTACTCTTTTTAATTAATTAATTAATTAATTAATTAATTAATTAATTAATTAATTTTTCAAGACAGGGTTTCTCTGTGTAGCCTTGGCTGTCCTGGACTCACTTTGTAGACCAGGCTGGCCTCAAACTCAGAAATCTGCCTGCCTCTGCCTCCTGAGTGCTGGGATTACAGGAACATGTCACCAAGCCCAGCTCAGAATTTTTTTTTTAAGCCAGAAAAGTTGCATTTTTGTGGCTCCAGAAGTTGCTAGCTGTAGTGAGCAATGTAGGTGGCAGTAAAAGAAATCAAGTACCAAGAAGTGTCCTTCGCACTTTCTGCATTGGTTCTTACAGAGTTATTCTGAACTGTTAAAAGTCAATGCAGTATGAAGACTGTACGTTGCATTCATGCAGACACATAATAGCTTGTGTGTATGTAGTTTTTATTTTTATAAGGTTCATTATTTTATTTTTTCACCCCAGCAGCTGCCTTGTGGAGGCCTTGGGCGCTAGTGTACTGCCAGCTGATTCACTGATGGCATGTTTTCCTGCTTAAAAGCATGGCTGCATTCCTGATTGTGAGCATCCGAGAGGAAAGAAAGAACCCCAAACTGTTATTTCCTTTTGTACTCTCTAATTCAACACAGAACACTGCCGTGACTGGATGTTTGGGAGTTTTTCCACATACACAGAAGAAAAACACTGGGCAAATTAAATTGAACAGTTAAATTGAACAAAGAATCATGAACGGGGCAGCCCTCGGAACCAGAAGAGGTTCGGGGATACTCCAGTGGCTTGATAACATTTATAAACAGGAAAAGGAAAGTAAGGAACAGAAACGGATGTGAAGAGTAGAAAAAGGAAGTGGGACACAGAAAAAGGAAGTGAGGTACAGAGACAGCTGGATTGGTAGGAGCTTGTTGTTTGCCTGATGGCTTGAATAGCTGTCACTTGTTAGGATTTTGGAACAAAACCTGCTCTGGGTTGTTGCCTAGCAACTTATGATGTCATCATGTGTCTTTGGCCAGGTGGCCTCACCTGGAAGGCGTGGTTACCTTGCCCCTTAAAGGGACAACCTGACACGTGGTCCCTCTCTTAGCCCCTTTTGGCCTTTCCTTTCTTGGTCTCTCTTGCTCCTCTCCCCTTTCTATATTGGGGCATCCTCTTCTCTCTCTTTTCCCCCTCTTTCTTCCCCCTCTCTCTCTTTCCCCTCTTTCCCTCTTTTTCTCCTGCCTTGTCCGGAGATGGTCTCTGCGACCCCTTCCCCTTCCCCTAATAAACCTCCCGAGTGGAACCAGTCGAGTGGCGTGATTTGTAAGCCCGCCATGTAACTCTTCCGCACGATTCTATCACCACCCACAGCTGACTTAGCTTGCTGTGACTGGCACAGACTCCATGACTTGGGGAAACTCCTCAGGTTTTTAGTTTGTTGACATAGTGAATTAGCTGAAGTTCTGTCAGTAGGACCGGCTGGCTCAACACTTCTAACACCACCATGGAATTCTTTAGCAGGCAAAAGACATATGTCATAGAATTCCATTCAACCTGACAGGCTACCACGCTGCACCGCCACTTTAGATAAGAATTGCAAGTCCCACGTTGTGACTGAGTGTGACTGTGAGTCGGTGTCTCACGGTTTCATTCTGGTATTCAACCATTTGCCAGGCTGGTTCACAGAATTCAGAAGAACATTTTGCTTATGCTTATTGTAAGGAATAGTATACAGACTACAGCAAACAGCCGGAGGAATTACGTAAGACAAGACAGGCACGGGGCTGGGCCCACAGCTTCCTGGCAGCCTCTCTCCGAGCTCAGTGCTCCACACAGACTCAGCAGATCTCACATTCTCGGAGTATTGGTAGAGCTTTGTCACTTTTCCCGGAGATTGGCGAGCTGGGATTAGAATGCCGACCTGGGAATCACTGTATTTTGGGGCCCTATCTTTTGGATTTCTAGAGGCTCTAAGTAAGTGTCATAATAGGAGTCATAGTAGGAGTCTTGGTGGATAATAAAAATACTTCTACCTTTAGGAGATAGGAGCCCTGTTGTGAGAACATGGGACAAAAACCAATCCGTGTCGCCACAGTGTATTTTTGGTCATTTTACCAGGATCTGGGAGGAAGAGCTAGAATGATTTTAGGGCTGAGGACCCTATCTTGGAACCAAAATTCAAATTCATGAAATCATTAAAGTCAAATTCATGAAGTCATTCAATCAAAGTTCCTTCCAGGAGCTTACTTTTAGGAAGTAAGGGTTGCCAGCAGCGCCTTCTTCAAGGAATCTTTTTGTGAAGCCAAATATTTTCACAGCAACCATTTCACCGCTCCCAATAAAACTGGTTCACTAGTCTGTTTTGTTTCTTCTGTTCTTTCTGTTTTAATTCTGGAAACAATGCTGATGACGTAATCTCTCATGCTGTGATGTAATCTGTGGCTCCTGAAGGCCCTGTCCCAGGTGTGGTGTGTAACCTATAGTGACCATTCTCATCCGGGTCAGAAGGATGGCCCAGAAGGAGGCCCGTGTTGGGCAAAGCTTTGTTTGTGTAAGAACTGTGCCTTGAGTGTACCAACATGGTCCCTGGTTTGCGTAACTGGGACACTCCGGCCACATGTGCTCTCTGGTTACATATACAGGCCGTTAGCTCACTCTCAGAGCAGCCCAGAGACACTCAAAGGCGGCTGCTGTTGCTGCTTCCTCCTCTTCTTCTCCTTCTTCTTTTGTGTGTGTCTGTGTGGGTTTTTTTTTTGGGGGGGGAGGGTGTCTCACTATGCAGCCTTGGCTGTGACCTGGTGTTTACTATATACAGAGCAGGCAAGCCTTGAACTCACAGAAATCGTTCTGCCTCCTGAGTATGGGGACCAAAGTCGTGGGGCACTATGCTCAGCTTCAAAGTCTTCTTGTTCTTGTTCTTTTTCTTTTTCGAGAGTTTCTCTGTGTAGAAACTGGACTTGCTTTGTAGACCAGGCTGGACTCAAACTCCCAGTGATTCATCTGCCTCTGCCTCCCTGAGTGCTGGGATTAAAGGTGTCGGCTACCACGCCTGGCTTTCGAAGCCTCTTAATCGACACTTTCCTGATCACTCGTGTGCATGTGTGGCGCGGTATGTACGCACGGTGCAGGTTTGGGTGCCATGCTGGAGTTCACCTTTAGAGGCCTGAGGAACCGCAGCCACTTTTACCTCATTGCGTTGACACAGAGCTTTCAGTGAACATGCAGTTTGGGTTAGGTTGTTTGGCTGGTGAGCTCCTGGAATTTGCCTGCTTCTGCCTCTCAACACGGGGGTTAGAAGCATGTGCAGCCGTGCCTGCTCCTTTCACTCACTCCCCGAGATGCTAACTCACACTTGCACAGCAAGTGTTCTTATTCACTGAGCCATCTCCTTAGCCCCAACCTCTTTTAAACATCTGAGACACCGTTTCAAGAGCCCAAGCTGGCCTTAAACTTGTTTTACAATTTGAGCTCCTGATCCTCCTGCCTTTATGTCTGGAATGCTGGGATCACAGCTGGCACAACCACACTCAGTTTTACGCCCAGGGCTTCATCACGCTTGACAACCCCAACCCCTGGTAACTCTTGATCTTTATAATTAGTGGACATGAGCCTGCAACACAAAGAGGAGATGGCTCTTTGAAGCAGCGAAGGCAGGAATGCCACAAAGGTGGAAGTGGCAGCAGCAATAAACTGGGTAAAAAGTTCCAGAGCATGACAGCACAGGGAGAAGAGGCAGTGGACAAACGGGGTGCTGTGAAGAGCTGAAAACAAACGCCCATGTGCCCTCCCCACTAGAGCAGTTCCAAGGAGTTGTCAAACTTGAGCGGCCACTGGGCCCAGGGCTCTAACGGCCCCTGAAAGGAGCTGATAGTCCATTGCTCAGAGCCGATTCACCAGCTGCAGAGCCAGCAGGAACTGCCCAATGCGGCCTCCTACTGCTGTTGGAAATAGACGATTGCAACAGTTGCAAAATGCTGGGGTTTGCTGGTGGCGGAAGCCCAGAGCAATAAGTATCCCACCAGAATGCCTACTCACGCCCTGGCTTCCACAGCACCCCGCAATAGGCCCCTAGCTATCGCAGCTCGGAGCTATGAGCCCCTAGGTCCATTAGTCCAGCCAACAGGCTCTACAGGCTTATGGCCTCGGGGGATAAAAGCCAGAAGGGCCTCACAATTTTTTTTTTTTTTTTTTTTTTGAGACAGGATCTCCCTATGTAGTAGTCCTTCTGGCCGTCCCTAGACCAAGGTGCTTGGAACTCATATCCTCTTGCTTCTGCCTTCTGACTGCTGGGATTAAAGGCATGCATCACCATGTCTGGTCTCTCATGATTTCTTCCTGTCCAGTAAAGGTAGGGATTCCCCAGAGAGCGCTGACTGGTGATACTGTCATCAGGGTTCTTCAAGTTAATACTACTCTTATAAAGCCACAAATAAACCTAGTTAATAGGACATATATAAAAGTACGCTTTTGAACTGGACAAACCACTGAAGGCAGATTAGATAGCCCCTAACCCCTATGCCCTGCTAAAAAGACACCCAGTCATTTCTCTTGTCATTTCCAAGTTTTGGACACTTTTTTTTCTGGCATCACATTTTTTAAAAAAGTATACATACATATTTCTTTTGCAGAAGGGCATATGGAATTGAAGTAAAGGTTGTTTGAAAAATGTCTTGAATGGTGGATTTGCGAAAACAATGACATATGAAAGTTCATGGAGAGGTGGATTTACCAAAAGGTCCAAACGCCAAAGATATTTTAACACGCACATCTACTGCTTCCCAAAGCAGACTTCTCTCTTTCGTGGGACAAAAATAATCTTCAAGAAAGCTTGTTACAAGAAACTAGGAAGTTTATTTTTAATGGCTTCTTCCTAAGGCAGCGCAAGTTCAGCCCTTATATGGGTGTGTTTGCCTGCAGATAGCGGTAGGGAGAGTTCAGGACAGAATGCAGTGAGGTACCTGCTGAAGTCGTGAGTGCCCCCCCCCCCCCCCCCGCGCCTGGACAGCCCCAGGCAGAAGTGAGAGCCTTCACACCTGATCTCACCTCGTCCTTGAAGCCTACCTCACCCTCCCAGTTCCTAACTCCCAGCTTACTCCAGGCTCCCACCCCTGTCCCTCCAACCCACCGATCTAAGGGACATTTGCAGTTTCTCCTTACTGCTCTTTCTCTGATATTGTCTTAAGACATGGTGGACGCGTGGACACTCCAATGTCTGCTTCTCTCCAAACTTCAGAGGATCACAGTGTTTTTTCTTTATTTCCTGGACTCTCCAAGCAGCTCTGGGCTGGGGTCCCTCGGGACCTGAGGCAGAGACCTTGAACCCCGCAGTGTATTTCTTTCTCCAACCTTTAGTCCTCGCCCTCCGCAGCCCCTCAGGTTTCCAGAGTACACCGTCTAGCCTTTCTCGCCTCGTGTTTCCCCCCTTTCCATCCCTAACGCGCCAAGGTGGGCGTCCATCAAGCAGCTGGGACTTCTGTCACCCGGTGCAGGCCGGGCTGACCCTCTGCTGTCCCACCGAGGTCAGGGCACCCGCGCCCTGCAGCCCCGCGCTGCGCCGGAAGCCTCTGCCCGCCCCCTCCCCGCGCCGGGCCTTATCTCGGCGCCCGGGGGACTGTGGGGCGCGAGCGGCGGGCGCCGGGAGGGAGCCGGCGGCATGGGCCGGGGCTCGCGGGGGCTGCGGGGGCTGCGGGGGCTGCTGCGGCTGCTGCTGCTGCTCCGCCTGCCTCGCGGCGCGGGCGGAGAGGCGGGCGCCCACGGTGAGTGCGAGGCCCCGGGCGCGCGGGGCGCGTGCGCTCGGGCTCCGGAGGCGCAGAGCCGGGCGGCCGGGGACGTGGAGGCGGAGCGGCCCGGGCACCGCGGGGCGCGTGGTGGAGGCGGCTCCGCTCCGGACGGTGCCTCCGGGGCTGCGGGTGCGGGGCCGGGCGGGGTGCGGGTCCCGGGCCGCGCGCGCGAGGGCGAGCGAGCCGCCGGTTCTCCAGCTTCCGGTCGCGGTGGCTTCTGCAGGGCAAACTCTTGACCTGTAGCCGGTTTGTTTTTTTAATTTTTTTTTTTTCCTCTTTTCTTACTTTGCACCTCCACGAAAAAGTAAATGCTAAGAACGCTAAGAAGCGTAAGAAGTTTATAGGAACAGACCTCATCTTTTATCCGTGCGTTCACTACTCTGTATCCATGCATCTGTGCACCCGTCCATCCATCCTTCCTTCCTTCCCTCCACCCTTCCATGCGTGGAAAGCGCTTTGACGTCTTCCCTGTGTCAGTTGTAAACGTGCAGTGTTGGTGCTCTGGCGGTACACAGTCGCAAGGAGACAGACAAGTAAACAGTCCGTGTTTTCGACAAATTGGGAAAAGGGAATGTTGAGCATGGTGGCTTTACCTCCCACGGAGGATCCAGACAGGAAAGCGAGGTGACGTCTGCCCACGTAACTAACAGAATGCAGAATAATGTAAGTGCTCCGGGAAGGCGTACAGGTCAGAAGAGGGAACAGCTCTGTTTTACTGGGCCCATTATACATGGGATGAGCCAAGCTTAGCCTTAGGGACTGGCCATGCATGGATTTAGAAAACGGAGGGAAAGGCATTCCATTCCATAGAGGGTCCTGAATGCTCTTGTTCCAATCAGTCTGGTCTATAGTCAGACAAATAAACAAAACAAAACAAACAAAATAAAAATAAAACAACAAAGCAGTGGATAAATTCCAGGCTGGGAACAGCATGCGATCGCAGGATGCAGAACATGAAAGAGAGGAGAGATGGGAAAACGGACTGGATTTCACAAGAGAGTCAGTCTCGCCCTGATCAGCAGAGCACAGCGCTTGGTGAACTGTTCCTGCGTGGTGGGAAGCCGCCGGAAGCCGTTGCAGGGCACCACAAAGGGAGGGATGTCAGACAGTCTGCATGAGGACACCAGGCTCCCGCTGGCATTTCCTTAATAGAGCCAAGCACTGAGGTCCGGAGGGCCGCTGGCTCATGTCTGTTATCCTAGAATTTGGGACACCAGGAAGGGAGAATTGCCATGGGTTTGGGATCAGCTTGGACCACAGAGTAGGGTGTCTCAAACACATATGCAAAACCAAACAGGATCTAGAATTGGAAAGAGAGTGAGGTAAGAGTGGACTTTGTGGAGCAGATTCCGGTCCTCCCAAATTCTCTTTGCTGGCAATTTGTTGTTTAGCTTTTCAAGACAGGGTTTCTCTGTGTACCCCTGACTGTCCTAGAACTTTTTCTGTAGACCAGGCTGGCCGGCCTCGGACTCTGAGACGTACTTGCCTCTGCCTCCCAAGTGCCGGGATCACGGGTTGCCTAGTGAATTTCACCATCACTTCGGGTGTGTGATGGCTCAGCTTTCTAGAACGGCTCCCCTTCACCCCAACATCTGGTACTCCAGTAAGCTCTCTTCCTGCCCTGATTTGGTCTGTGTCTTAGGGTTTCTAACGCTGTGAAACAGCATGGCCACGTTTTGGGAAGGGAAGAGTTTGTTTCAGCTTACAACTCTCAGGTCACACTCCATCACGGAGAGAAGTCAGAGCAGGAATGGAGGCAGGAGCTCGAGTGGCAGCCAGGGAGAACTGCTGCTTACTGGCTTGCTCAGCCTGCTTTCTTTTAATACCCGGTCCAGGGATGGCTCTCCCCTCAGTGACCCGGGCCCTACATCAATCCTTAAAAAGAAAATGCGCCACAGGCCAATCCAGTAGGACCATTTTCTCACTTGAGGTTCCCTGTTGTTATAAACAATGATGAAGATCCCAACTGTTCTATTTTACCCATAGACTCAGGAGCCAGATGCTGGGGTGAAAACCGGCTAGCGCAAAGCCTGGGAGCTGAGAAGCTGAAGCATAATGTGATGTGGGGTGGAGAGCTTGAGCTAATCACCCTTCTCTTAAGGAGTGCCTTAAACACTCCTCAACTCAAAGTAACTCTACTCTTTAATCTCTGTCAGCTGGTTTCTTGCTCTGCGTCTTGACCTGGAGTTGACTTTGTTAGATCTGATATACAGACAGCTCTAGAGTTAAAGGCGTGTGCTAAGGCTGAGCGACACCATAATCACCTGTTTACAATAAACAGAAAGTTCTTGGATTAAAGGTGTGTGATAGGGCTCAACCATACCAAACAATAAACAGGGTTTTACAGTTCACAAATTTGGGGTTCACAATGGGATCAAATATCCTTCAACAGTTCCCTTTTCCAAAATGACATAACACTAGCCACACAGTCTCCCATGACCACGTGAATAAAAACCTTTAGGTAACTGAAACCTGTTTTAGGATCTGTGTAAGACTCTGGCCTAGGAAAGTATCAATTGTGGTCCATTGAATTATTGGACCAAGATGGCTGAACATAACCAGGAGTCACTCTGTCTACACCTCCTTTTCCAGATGTTCTTGGTGCTGTGGGTTGAAGTGAGACTCTCGCCTCTACGCAGGCGCTTCACTGCTGAGCCTCACCTCCAGCCCATGTGGAAGGTGTGAGGATTTGGGGAAATGAAGTCAGAACTGCCTCTCATTAGGCCGACAGTTTCCTTTCGCCTACAAACTTAGAGAATCCAGTTCTACAAGAGCCTACTTTCCCTAAGATAGAAAATGTGGTGAAACAACCCTCCTGCCCCAGCCGTAGGTGCTGGGGATTCTAGGCGTGTTCCACCATACCTGGCTCAGGGATGGGTTCTTGGCAAAGAGCTAGGTTAGATGATACATGCAAGGAAAAAAGAAAGAGGCAGCAGCCAGATGGATAAAACACCTGGGCTAGTGCTGAGGCCGGAAGTTGGGGCTCACGGTTCACTGATAAAAGCCTTTGGACTTGGTGACCCTGGCTCACAACACAGGATTGCTCTGAGAAGTTAGAAGGAAAAGGAGGGCCCCTCAGTTGGGCTGGTCAGGTCAGCGTAGGATTTGGGGGGGGAGTAAGTCCTTTCTGCTCACGTGTTAGACCAGCAGCCGTTATTCAGCAGGGAGAGGGGAAAATGCAAGAATGGACAAGATATTTACTAGAGCCCTTTAAAGCTGGGCTGCAAGTGGGAGAAGTTAATCTCAGGAAGGCAAGACCAAGAAACTGCCCCTTCCCTCTCCTACCGTCATCTCCCTCACGAGTGCTGTTCAGTTCATGTCAGAACCGGACTTGCTGCTCTCACTCACCGAACATCCCTTGAACACTGCCCACGTCTCTTTGACGCCATGACTACACGTCTCTTACCCACTTGTATGTATTGAGTGTGACTTTCTTATTATTATTTCTGGTTATTGAGTGTGAAGTGGGAATATGCAGGGACCATCCAAACAGTGACAAGCAATTTGGGTGCTGACCTAAAGCCGCCTCAATTTAGGGTGGCGTGACTCCAAAGCTGGCTGTGGGGTGGGAGAGCCTTGAAGGCACTTGGAAGGGAGGGCTTGTGGATGCCCAGCCTGGGAGGCTGGTGCTTATTTTCGAGTGATCGTTTACAGGCATCTTGTGTGATTGCTCAAGGGGCCTGTTGGCCCTTCTCTGGTTGGTCTGGTTGTGTGTATGTGTGCACGGGTGTACATGTGTATGTAGCGCATGTGTTTGTGTTTCTGTGTGTTGGTTGTGTATTTGTGTGTTGTTTTTGTGTGTCTGTGTTGTATGTATATGTTTGTGTGTATATGTATGCGTGTGAGGTGTGTGTGTGTGTGTGTGTGTGTGTGTTTCTTGAGACAGGAGCTTCCAGTGTAGCCAACTCTGCTGTCTCAGTCTCCCTAGTGCTAGATTAGAGGTGCCTGCTGCCATTTCTAGCATCTCAGTCAGATCTGTAGGGTCCCTCACTAGTAGCTTGTGCTGGGTTACATTTCATTGGTGGAAGATGTTGGGGGGAAGTGAGCTGAAGCCTGAGTTTGAGGGGAAGCATAAACTGAGGAGCAGCAGGGTGTTGGTGAGTGGGTGGGGTGCCTGGCCCCAGGGGATTCCAGAGGTTCGCGATGGGTGAGGAAGGGCAGAACCAGTCAGTCCTGTTCTCAGCCCGACTGTGGCTCTGCTCTGAGTCTGGGAGTGGCTGCGGTACTTGTTGGCTCAGGCCTGGCTGAGTTCAGGAAGGCCAGAGGATCATGAGGGATGGTGGGTAGACATGGGGAAAGCCACTGTGTGCAGTACATCTGTCATGTGTTTCATAGGTGTGGTCTCCACTCTGTCTTCATGAGTGGCAGCGTTGGGGTGGACGTGGGGAAGGCAGGGGAGATGGAGAGCGTGGACGGCCGTAGAGTGATGGAAAGCTGCTCAAGGTGAGGAGTGAGATGAGGCTTCCGAGACCTCCGCCCCCAGAACTTGACCCTGTGCACACCCGTGGTCTTCTAAGATGAGCTCCCTGGCGTCTGCAGCTCTAGCTATCAAGCTGTCTGTTGGATTTGCAAACAGTGCCCAGTGTGGTTGAGTGCTGGCTTAGCATTTGGGAGGCCCTAGGTGCCATGTCCAATACCACCAAAAATTTAAAAAGTTTAAAAAGATCATAGCCTGCTGGAGAAAGGGTCAGGGGTGAGGTGGTGGGAGAGAATAGAAGCCTGAATAGGTGACTGCCAGACATGAACTCTAGGGCGGGCCCCAAACTAACGTCTGTTTAACTCCAGGCTCAGAGCTGGGACTGGGATACTGGCCATACTTCATAAGCAGCCTTCCCCCACGGCTTCCGTTTCAGTTCCTACCTTGTTTTGGTCTGGAGGCCTGGTGTAGGGTCCACCGTGGACTGATCTTGGTCAGACAAGAAAGTGAATGGGAAGCCAAGGCTCCTGGAAACATTTTACACAAGGAAAGGCTAAGG